TCCTTTTGAATACCTTTCCATTTCAGCTTTGTGCCTCTTCCGAAGATGAATCACTAGTTGATCTCTGGTTCGCTTTTTCGTCCGCTTCGGGCAGATCGTACAGCTGAACGGCTGTAGTTTACTGTGTGTTCGGTCGTGCTCTCGAAGATCATTGGTGTTCTCTGCCAGATAATAACATCCTTGGTGTCGACAGATGAAAGTGGTCGATGATGGCGTTGATGGTGATGACAGGTGGTCATCTTTGCGATTATTTTTCTTGTTCGGGCCGGTTGCTGTTAAAGACATTGGTGATTGGGTTTGAGTTCAGGTTTGAGTTTAAATGCAAATAAGCACGACGTAAATCAACAAATGTTAACAAACGAGCTAGCGAGTGCGGGGTTTCTGTCTTGGCTAGCCACTCTCTAGCAACCCTGCTCATCAACTATCAGTAATGGCAAGCATGTGCTAAAGTGTACTCCTCTAGAGGGACAGCACAACACTTTGATTCTCTACAGTCCTCTGGGAATAATTAGAGCTGGTTTGGCTGTTTAGTGGTTAATAACATGTGTAAGAAATACCTCGGAGACAAAACTAAAAAGGTGCTGATCTACTGATAGTGAGGTGTACTGTTGAGATGTTGATCACTTTTTATTTTAGAATTTTAGTTACTTTTGTCTAAAAAGTTACTTTAAAAATCTTATTTTCATGATTTATAGGAAGTTTACATTATGTCATTTGTATTGAACTGCTCAACAAGTTAAATTCCGACTTTTTTTGTTGCAAAAAATTCTCAATGAAAAACTGGGAAGTGGTGTGTTTCAAGTGCCACTGTTACTGCTGTTATTGGAGGCCAATGTGCCGCAACCATGACAACAACCGGCAATCCATTTTTAAGGAAGTATTTCACTGTTGTCTCCTACTAAACAGCAGCTTTAAAATTAAAAAGTGTCCACAACTTTTTTTAACAAATCCGTCATTGAAGCTGCCTCCAGTTTGAGTGTGTGCCTCTCACTTTTCATTCATTCATTCATTCATTTAGGCAGTCATCATTGAAGTAAAGGGGCAGGTGCTGCCTGTGCCAAGTTATCACCTGACCGTGGCTGGGGAGAGTCAATTGGACAAAAGGAGTGAAATGTAAAGCATGCGAGTAGTGTTCTCACATCAACAGTAGTACTATCCCCTCAATTTCTCTTTCTTGCATCATGCAACTTATTAATATTTTGCAAAATGGTAGCCTGTCGTCATCGGCAAAAAGGAGAAAGAACTATCAACACACGATACTGCACAGAACTCTAACTGAACGTCACTGCTCAGGCACATTACGACTAAATGCAGCAGTTGGAACAAGCACACCGTGTGTGTGTGTGTCACACTTCAAGGCAATGGGAACCGAGTGACAAATTAATAACGGACTGCACCACCACCGCCACCAGCACACTAAATTAAGTCACCCGAGAACGTGCTTGATTGATATCGAAACGCAGACACACTGCCACACACTGACAGACCAACTGTCAGACAAAATGTGGCCATCGAGATTCAATTTAGTCTTCTGTTTGCCAACGTTCGCACAGACAGCAAGCAAGAAAGCAAGCTAGCTTGCACTAAGCACATAAGTTCGGTTGACAATGGTCGCGGTAATAGCGGTGCCTCAGCCTGTCCGTTAATTGCCACTGTTGTTGCTGCTGCTGCTGCATTGCCACTTTTGCATAAAGAACTGTATGTTTTTACGTTTCTAAAATTTTCCTACGTTTGTTTGTGGTGTCAAAAATGTACTAAACTGACCACCGGAGTGTCTGATCTGATCGTCTGGTGGTCAACGGTAGAGAGAAGGAGAAAGAGAAGGAGATTGAGCACCAGCCAAGGAGGCACTTGCACTTGACATTCAGCCAGATGAGAAAAAAGAGAAAAGCACGTTTACAAGTGGACGAAAGTAGAAAACGATGAAGAAAAGAAAAGCCAAAGTGACGGCTCATTTTGGTTTGCTCACTGCAGCAGTGCTAATTGCGCCATCCCTGACCATTAATTAATTGCAGGCAATTACCAAGTTACTTTCGAGTGACAGAAACAGCAGAAGATGGCTCTTCTCTCTTCTGCTCAAACCGATTATGGAGCTTTGCTGACTGACTGACTAGCTGGCTCAGTTGGAGTTATGCAAAATGCTCTAGATTGGGCGCAAGAAGATGAAGAAGATGTTAGTGATGATGAAGATGATGATGTGCAGACCCAAAGACCATTGCCCGCCTGACGAATCACCTGCTCTACATTGAACGACGTGTGATGGTGGCGATTTCCTCCAGCACTTCTCTGCAGAAAAGGAAAAAAGTAGTGCATCGTTCATCTAAACAACGGCGAGTATTCAGTGAATATTTAAAGAGAAAGCAAGAGAAAGTGCAATTGCCAGTGGGAGACGGCTGAAATTCAAGGCTCAAAGGAGTGAGATTAGATAAGGCAAGCATTTCTTGGAAAAAGAAGAAGGAGCATCATTGTTGTCGTTTTCCTCAGCTTGACAATGAATGACAGGACTTGAGCACCCCATTTTTGTCCTCCTCCGCCTGCAGTATCTTCTGCAAATCGAACCGTCACCGAGCACTGAGGACAATTGACTGCAACGTGGTGGTGGTGGTGGTTGGCTAACAATCAAAACAAGCAAGCAAGCAAACTTTCACTCTTTTTGCTCTTCAACCACAAACCTACTCCTCACTGGGACAATAGTAGCGGCTCACTAGTAGTACTGTCAACTGATAAGACAATCAGCTTCGGCCTCTATGTTTAGCCTGTGTTTTTTCCTGAGATCTCAGTTAGCTTCACCGTACTAATTGCCCAGTCATGTGAAACGGAACCGTTGTTGTTTTGCTGTTGTTCTACTGCTACTGTTGCATTCATTTGCATTAGTTGTTCACCGCCACCAACTGCCAGCCTCAAAGTGTCAATCAGTGGGCGGCAACAACGGTGGTAATTACGGTAAAGATGGGGCGCTTCTGCATCTTTGGCTGCTGCTGCTGCTAATTGCCTATAACATCGTGATCATGCAGTCTTGCAGCAACCATGAACTGTGATTTTCATTTGCTGCTCAATGTGAGCTCTCTGCTGGTGATCGTAATCTCTGGACTTAGTTGGTGTGTGAGCTTCGGTTGANTAAAGTGTCAATCAGTGGGCGGCAACAACGGTGGTAATTACGGTAAAGATGGGGCGCTTCTGCATCTTCGGCTGCTGCTGCTGCTGCTAATTGCCTATAACATCGTGATCATGCAGTCTTGCAGCAACCATGAACTGTGATTTTCATTTGCTGCTCAATGTGAGCTCTCTGCTGGTGATCGTAATCTCTGGACTTAGTTGGTGTGTGAGCTTCGGTTGAGCAGAAAAACGAAAGTTAAAGAGTAGGCATCAGCTTCTTTCCTGTCCATTAGGCATTCATTCCTTGCTCTCTCCCTCTGCATTGAGCCATCACTCGGTATCATCATCTGTTCACTCACTCACTGACTATTGCCTGTTGTTTTTCCATGAACTTGTTTCCATCCATGTCAGTCTAAAGTGACCTGTGATCATCGAGAGACACAGAAAACACTGGTGTCATTTGTCTCATGTCTTGCTCACTCATCGAACGTTGAAGTTAATAGTTTCAATGTAGATTCTTTTCTGCTAAACTAAATGAGAGCAAACATCAGTAGTGCACTCGTCCTTGTTAATTGTTAAAACTTAAAACTACGGATTTTCCCCAAAACGCAATCAACGTTTTTTGCCCAAGTCCGGCAACATTTTCTCTGCTGTGATGTCCAGTCCAAACGGCTGAAACAAATTGCTCTCGGGCAGTGAAAGTCAGCAAAAAGTAAACGGAGAGGAGGATGGATGGATGAAGAAGGATGGAGATGACATTCAAAACGAAGAGATGCAGAGACACGACAGTGACATTGTCAGTGCGAAGAGAAGAAGAAGACAGTTGGCCAGTTGTTGTTGTTGATGATGTAGCATCAACAAGAGAGCTTATTCACGGGAGAGAAAAACTAATTGCCGGTACTGTTGCGGTTTATGCAGATCTGTCGTTCAGCAGTGGTAGTGGTCGTGGTGCTTATCATCAACAGGAGTGGCCAGTGCTCTTGGAACGTATTTTGTGGTTGTGTGCTGGACACTGATACTTCTTCTTCTTCCCCTCATCACTCTAATTGTCATCTCTCCAAACATCAACGTGGATTAACGGCGGCGTCAAGAAGAGGAGGATGGCCAACGGCGCCGTCTAAAGGCGCCAAGTGGCCATCATTACCATTGTCGTATAAAAAGCACTGCACAATGCTGACATTCAAGTTTGACTGGCCGCTTTCACTTCATTCGTCAAACAGCTCCTCAGGTCAAGTCGACACATCTTTTCATTTTTTCGTTTTTGTTTTGATGCCTCTTTCTTTGTGAATTTACTCTCTACCTTTGCTTGCATCCAGTTTTTCAGAATATTCTTCTGATTGTGGGGTGTTACTGATATTCTGAATCACATCGGTCTTTACCAGAATTTGTGATCGCCACCTTCCTTTCCCCTTTCCCTCTCTTCATGCATCAAATCTACCTCTAAAACTGCCCAACTTGAACTTAAACTGGTCGAACAACACCTGCAGTTGGCACAATCGACCAGGCACCACCATGAAGTCCTCTCTGGTAAGTAACACTTTTGTTTATAAATACTCAAATCCTAAAAGACCCATCATCAGTTTTCTACAACTATTTTCACCTTCTCCACCACCACCACCACCACCACCTGTTGTTGTCTCCTCCTGAGCTTGACACAAATCATCGCCATCGCCGGTCAGAGCGTCTTTGTCCGGCAAGCACAGCAACACAATGCAGCCATTCCTGTGCTAAACTACCACAGACCATCTTCACAACAACACCAACACCATCCCTCATCATCATCAGCAACAGCAGCAGCTGATCTTCAAACAGAAGAATCCGGCGCCCTAGGCCTCTATCCGGGTGGCGTGGGTGGCCTAAGTGGGTATGGCCACAACGGTGGCGGTGGGCTGGGCGGCTATGGAATGCCAATGCATACTGGTGGAACCTATGGATCCGCTTACGGAAGTGGATTGAGCGGAGGCATTGGCGGCGGCCTCTCCTCTGGCTCCTACGATGATCTGCACAAGTACGGCGGCATCGGGAAGAAGGCGCACACTTCGTCACTGTACGACCATGGATCGAAGGGTAAGTGCTGCTGCTGTGAAAACGGAGATAAGCTGAGAAACCGTTGTTGTCCTTATCGGCAAAGGCATCTGTCCGTGAAATGAACGCAGATAAAACGAGGACGGCGAGATGACATGTCATTCGGAGAGAATTGCCTCTCCTGTCACCACCAGCTCTACTACTTCTAATACTATCGGTCAGAGAGCAGTGCATTGCTAATTTGTCCATTTGCAGTCAGCAACTGCTCAGACAGTGAGTGAGTGAGATAGCACTGGACTAGTGCAGCAGTTATGTAAATGTGAATGCCATTAGTTCACTAGTTCACTGCAGTTGGTGTTGCCGCTTGTGAAACACTCACCAGTTGAATGTGTTTGTGTGTGGCATTGTCGTCTGAATGAGATGTGTTTATCACTTTGGTTCGTTTGCATTGGACACTACTGAGGAGAAAAAGAAGAAGTAGAAGTGCTTCATCTCACTCGGCAGCTATTTAATTGAGTCGTTCAACGTGTGCGACAACAAAGCAAAGACAACTGCTGTCTGGCTTTCCCCTCTCTCTTTCTTCCAACTGCAACTGTTGACAACTGCCGTCGTGTGAAAAAAGAAGAAAGTGAAAGTGAGGGGCGGAGAAGAGGAGCATCTATTAGCGGTGCTTAATTGCCGTAATTGAGCATCAGCGGCAGTTTTGCTCAGTCTTCTCCTTCTTCTTGTGCCTTTTCTGCTGAACTGGATTTTCATTTTGACTAAAAGTGTTGTGACATCATCGCAACTTTGTCACTTTTCGATTCTTGCTGGCAGCTACTGCCGCTGCTGTTATCCATTGTCGTCTTGCAGTTTGATGATGAATGACTTAAATCAGTGTCACTGTTTTTTAAAATCGTCAAAATACTTTTTGTGCCTTTTTGATGGCAAACTGAAAAAGCAAAAGCTTCTTGCACTTTCTAGAAATGACACAAAGTCGCCAAAAGTCAACAGAAACTCGGCAATTTCAGCGCAAAAGACGATTAGCATAATCGGTAATTGGCCATCGAGCTGTGTGAGCTGAAACAGCTGGTGAAAAGATGCTTTTCGATTAAGAGTTTCTGGGAAAAAATAGAGAAAGGGAAAGAGTTTCTGAACTTGAATGATCCGGACAAAATTGCAACTTTTTTATTTGCTGATGGTAAAGGAGGAGGATCATTGGTGGACACAAACACTGCCATTGTAGTGCAGTATTGGCGGTCTTGGTCAGTGGTCATTGTGTTCTCTCTGCCGATTCTAATGAGCAGTAGTGCTGGTGATGCCTGTCTCCATTGTGCAGATTGCAGCTTTCCTTTTTCTGTTTAACTTTAACTCATCTCTTTTTCTCCTTCTTCTCTCCCCTCTCGGGAAATAGGTTACAAAGACTATTACGGCGATACTGCCTACGGGAACCAAGGTCAGTGTGCGATCGTTGAAGAGTTTATAATGTTGTTCGTATTTTCCTCTTTTCTCTAAACCTTTTAGCCAACCGTTTTATTCTCTTCCCAAACTAGGCCTGAACAAGTATAATAACCAGCACTCTTCGGACAATACCGGCAGCTCAAAGGGCAATCACGCCAACTACCACGGCGGGCACGTGTACACGCGAAACCGCGGCTACGGCTACGAGAAGAGCTACATGTACGACAAGGAGTTCTCCACGGCAAAGTCGGGCGGCAGCAAGGGCGGCCACCACTCCTACTACGGCGACCACAAGAAGGGCGGCCAGTCGAGTGTGAAGGCCTTCAAGAACTACGGCGGAAAGAAGTACGGCGCGAAGAAAGGTCACGATGAGCACGCCTACGGCAAGTACGGCCACCTGATGGACGACCACGGGGAGCACTACCTGAAGGCGAAGGCGGGCCTGGGAAAGGTGGCGCTGATGCCTCATCTGGAGCACTCATCCTACTCCTCAGGTGATCATGGANACTACCTGAAGGCGAAGGCGGGCCTGGGAAAGGTGGCGCTGATGCCTCATCTGGAGCACTCATCCTACTCCTCAGGTGATCATGGAGGAGGAGGGTACATGGGCGGCCACAATGAGTACATGCCGGTGATTGAGTCCTATGGTGGCGCCCTGGGTCACGGAGGAGTTGGTGGTGGTGGCCACCTGCCCTCCCTTGGCTACGACCACGACGGCTCCATGATGGACACCTATGACACCCAGCCGAATCCCAGTGTGGTCTACCCTGGTGGTCAAACGAGTAGAAACGGTGGTGGAAGCAGTGCTGAGCAGGTCGATGAGGTGGAGCCTCCTCCACCGATGGGCAAGCACATCAGCATCTCCTCCACCTCATCGCCCATCATGAACTCCAACAGTTCGCCGCTTATCTCCACCAAGATGGGCTCTGCAGCCTCATCCTTGGGCACGCCCCCAATGTACGCCACCATTGGCAGCGCTTTCAACCATCATGGAGCGTCTCGAGGTGGTGGTGGTGGTGGTGGTCTGGTGAACAGCGCCGTACACGCCACTCCGGCGGTCATTAGCACCAGCAGCGGGGCGCACTACTACAACAGCTGAAATAGAGCCGAATGATGATGATATTAATATCTGATGATAGCAGAGAAATATGAGCGAGAAAGAGAAAAAGGGTGTGTGGACAAGTACACCGGACAGCCTAGATCTAATACACACTTCACTCTGTCCTTGTTATGCAAATAGAACCCAAACTGCCATTTCTATTTATTGCGTCTTCTTCTTTTGGTGATTACTCACTTTCTCTGGCCATTACTATCTTCCATTACCACCATTACCACCACCAC